CAGACGAGTGGGAAATATTATTTTCATTTCCCTATCAATGAGGATGCCAGTTACTAGGTGACCCTTGACTGAAAAGCATGTGCAGAAACGCAATATGTATAATCTACTGGACAGAAGGGAAGGACATTGAGAGAATAATATTTGTGTGCTAGAAAGAGAGTGATTAATTTCTAACAGCAGAGGAATCCCATAAAAAATAAAACTGTGCCCTTAAAATTAGGGACCTCCCCTCCTCAACACAGTCGCTGCTCTGGACCTGATCCTGGGAGGAAAGTTCCCTAAGTGACACCCTCCGTGCTGACCATGAACAGCCAGGGAGACGGGCCCAGACTCCCCGGAGGAGGTGGAGGGGAACATAGAGAGTGTCCTGAGGGGATGAGGAGCCCACCTCAGGGGGCACCTGGACGCCCTGAGCCAGGGGGTCAGTGCACAGAGCTGGGGGAGGCAGGACCTGTCCCTCATGGGCTCAGTCAGAAGGGGACACAGTGGTGCATCCAGGCCTGGGCACCAGGGGGCGCTCAGGGGCTGCTGCTGAAGGGCTGGGTCATTGGAGCTGCAACCTGTTCCCTGGCCCTGCCTGGTGCCCTGTGCTCAGGGCTCACAGCTGTGACCTGCCATCCCCTGGGCCCACCACACAGCTCCACCCCCGCCATCAACCTGCCATCCTCAGGCACAGGGACCAGACCCAGGGCCCAGGAAGGGATCAAAACCTGGGGGTCTCATTTGCATAACAGGACCCTCCCTCCTACAGACTATGAAGAGGGGAGGGGAGAGGTGTGGGGAGCTCTGCTTCAGCTGTGGGGCCTCAGGAGCAGGACTCAGGGATGACCTCCACCATGGCCTGGGCCCCTCTCCTCCTCACCCTCCTGGCTCACTGCACAGGTGACTGGATGAGGGGACGGGGAAGGGGCCTTGGGAAGACACACGGGCCCTGCTACCTCCTCTTGTCTCTAGACCCAGACTCAGCATCTCTGTGTCTCCCCCTCTTGCAGGATCCTGGGCCCAGTCTGTGCTGACTCAGCCATCCTCAGTGTCGGGGGTCCCCGGGCGAGAGGGTCACCATCTCCTGCACTGGAAGCAGTTCCAACATTGGGGGTGGTTCCAATGTGTATTGGTACCAGCAGCTCCCAGGAAAGGCCCCCAAACTCATCATCTATGATAATAGCAACCGACCCTCAGGGATTCCAGACCGATTCTCTGGCTCCAGGTCTGGCAACTCAGGCTCCCTGACCATCACGGGGCTGCAGGCTGAGGACGAGGCCGACTATTACTGCCAGTCCTATAGCAGGAGTTTTGATGATAGCACGGTGCTGCAGGCCTGTGGGGAAGTGAGACAAAAACCCGCTGTCCCGCAGCAGTGGGGCCCGGGCAGCCCCATCCTCTGATGAGACGGCTGTGCCTTTGCTGGTGGTCGGTAACTGCGCGCTGGAACCCCCAGAGGATTGTTTCTGCAAAACCTGTCCTCACCCTTTGAATCTGCCCGTCAAGCCCGCCCGTGGCAGCAGCACAAGGTGTGCGTGTCTCAGCCTGAGCAGACCTGCCTGGGCGTCAGGGTGCACCTGCCCTGGGCGGCCAGGACGGGGCAGGGCAGACCCAGGGCCCCGATTCCAGCTGTGGCTGCGTCAGAGCCCCTCAGGGAGGCCCCTGTGTGTGCAGTGACCTGGGGGCTCCCCACACAACCAGGGACCCCCATCCAGCCAGAGAGCAGCGCCTGTGTGTTCCCTGATCCGCTCCCTGGGGCAAGTCTGGCTACTCGGGCTCCGTGAGCCACGCAGGACAGGCACTGAGGCCAAGGCTACCTGTCCCGGCCACTCCTGTGCCCGCAGCCCCAGGGCCACCCAGAGCCCATCCATTGGGACTGAGGCCACAGGGAGCCCTTCTCACCTGCCAAGATGGGTGCCCCCAACACCTGCCTCTCAGGCTCAGCCGGGGCCTCTCCTTCTACTGCTGCTTCCCCCAAACACCAGGGGCCAGGCCCCAGGGCAGCCCCTGGAGCATGAAGGGGCCTCCTCCCTCTCCCCTCAGAGGCCCTCACAGCAGCCTCCTCCTGGACACAAGGCCTGACACCAAACAGGAGGCCCATCCCCATCAGCGGGGACACTGAGCCCCTTGGCCCTGCAGCCCCGGGTCTGAGCTGGGGGACAATGAGGTCACTTCAAACCTGAACCCCGACGAGGGCCCCTGCGTCTCTCTCAGGGTCAGTGACTGTGTCCAGGACCTTCCCCAGCCGGGCCCTCCTCCCTGATGCTCAGTGGGAGCGGCTGAGGCCTTTGTGCACAGAGAGGCCCCTCTGTCCCTGCTGCCCCGGCCCCGGGGTCTCAGGCCGCAGCGCCCACCGGGGTCCTTGGGAACAACCGCTGTCCCCCCCTCAGTGCTGAGCTCTGACGCTCACTCCTCCTGTGAGTCACTGGCGGCTCCTCTCGGGGACCCTGAGCCCTGAGGAGTGAGGGCCACAGTGTGGCTCCTGGTCTTTGGGGCAATGCCCTCCCCCCTCAGGAGCTCACACGCTGCTGTGGGACGCGTCGTACGTGTGGGGAGAGTGTCAGTCACCACGTCTGCCAGCTCCTCACCATCCCCTGTAGCTTGTGCCTCAAATGAGGAAACAGGCACGAAAGGACGGGCAGGGAATTTTTAAAATATAAGCACATTTTAGGACACCGAAGATACAATTGGTTCATAGAAAAGCAGCACATACAACCGTTGGAATATAAAGACTTTTCCTAAAATTTAAATGCCCCACATGCGACAAGGCCCACCAGTAAATGTGGAGCCTACCAAACCGTTTTTTCATAATGAATCACTGACTCAAATCAGATGACAATGATTTGATGCTGTACAGGGTTTGAAATGTTTGCTGAATGGTCCTCCTCTGAATGTGACCCTGAGGGTATTTCTGGAAAGTTCCTCTCTCCTTCATTGACCTGAACAGCCCCCAGGAGCTCATCACACCTGAGCAGCTCCCTCACCTGTGACGCTGGACAAGAGGCTCACTGTGCATTTATTTGTGCAGCATCTTCACTGGAAGAGAAACTGTATCATTTGTCATTTGTGAATCTTTAAGTTCATCACACAGATGCAGACCTGAGAGTGAAATGCTACGGTGATCAATACAGAGAATCACATCCCAGTATCTGGGCTCAGACCGTGGGTGTGGGAACAGGGACAGAGACCTGGGAGCCCACAGCCAGCTGGGCTGTCAGGGCTTTGGGGCAGAGGAGGGTGTGTCCTCCCACCAGCAGGGGGCGCTGTGGGACTGCCAGGTGATCAGCACACAGCTGTTCAGTGAGACCTTCACACACAGGCCCCTGCACTGTGGGCTCCCTGCTGTCCTTGGTGGCCTGGCAGCGCCCCCAGAGCAGGCACCTGTGTGTGGTCTCAGCAGGTGCTTCCTCCCAGGGCCCCCCAAGGGGTGAGCCCACCTCCATGCCCCTCAGTCTGGGGTGTGAGCTGAGCTCCAGCCCCAGGGCCCAGGGAGGGGCTGGGCAGTCCCTGGAGGGACCCCCATTTGCATGGCAGCCCCTCCTCTGGCAGAGGGTGGGGAGAAAAGGAGGCCTGGGCAGCCCAGCCCCACTGTGGGCTCAGGGCTGTGAGCACCATGGCCTGGACTCCTCTGCTCCTCGTGCTCCTCTCTCACTGCACAGGTAGGGACAGGCCTGGGACCAGGCTCCTTCCCTTCCTGCTCAGTCTCCTGGGAAACGTCCCCTGGTCCCTGCCCATCACTGACAAGTGTCTGTGTCTGCAGGGTCCCTCTCCCAGCCTGTGGTGACTCAGCCGCCCTCCCTCTCTGCATCTCCGGGAGCCACAGCCACACTCACCTGCACCCTGAGCAGTGACATCAATGTTGGCAGCTATGACTTACGCTGGTACCAGCAGAAGCCAGGGAGCCCTCCCCGGTACCTGCTGTACTTCTTCTCAAGTACACGTTTGGGTCCTGGTGTCCCCAGCCGCTTCTCTGGATCCAAAGACGTCTCAACGAACTCAGGCCTTCTGCACATCTCGGGGCTGCAGCCTGAAGACGAGGCTGAATATTACTGTGCCACATGGGACGGCAGCTATAAGACACACTGTGGTCCAGGCCCACAGGGAAGTGAGACAAAAACCTCCTCTCCGCTCTCCTGGCCTGACCTTGGCCCCTGCTGGCGGCTCCGCCCAGTTCTGGCTCTGCCGTGACTGTGCTGATAGGTGTCCATCCGGCACCGGGTGATGCCTGACCCGGGGTCCTGACAGGGTCACAGCTTTGACGTCAGGTCAGCGTTTCCATTGATTTGTTGCTCTTGGAATGTGCGCCATGTTCACGTTCCCACAGGTAACATTCCTCAGGGATGAAGGTTCCCATGGAGACAGTGGAGGAGGTTGAATCAGATTCATTCAGGCCAAGCTCAGCTCAGAGTTGAGCAGTGACTGAGATAGGATCCTGGTCTGAGGGCTCAAATCTGAATTTTGCATTAAAACCGACCTGCAGAAATGAAGTGCATTCTGTATAACTGCAGGGAACTATCAAAATGTAAAAATAACAACATCCCATCTGTAGCCACATGCACATGAGCTCCTTGAGGATCCGTCTGGCTGTGGGATGGGATGATGGATGCGAATCCGCTGGGCCATAGCTCCGGGGCCAAAGGATCAGGGTGTCAGGTTGTGTCCACCAGGTCCTGGGTCTCCCTTGTCCTCAGGATTAAACACGACCCAGGGACAGGCTCCCGGATGCTCATGCTCATGGGGGCAGCCCGCCCAGCCCTGCCCCATGCCCTGCAGCGTGGGCCCTGCCTGTGCACACGGGTCCCTGCAGCTCCCCTGCTCCTCCAGCTCCTCCAGGGACCGGGACCAGGTCAGACAGCCCAGGCCTAGTGCCCCGGCCCAGGCAGCAGCACTGGGGAGAAAGGTGTCATTTTGATCCCTCAGCACCGGTGACATCTCATCAACACTCTGCACCAATGACACAACCACATCCTCAGGACATGGGGGTCCTCAGCCCGCCTGGCGGGGTCAGTGGTTGAGCGTTGACCTGTGAACCAGGATGTCAGGGTTGTATCCCGGGTCAGGGCGCATGCCCAGGTTGCAGGCTTGATCCCCAGGGCGGGGTGTGCAGGAGGCAGCCAGTCGATGATCCTCTCTCATCATTGATGTTTCTCTCTCTCTCTGCCTCTTCCTTCTCTCTGGCAGCAATAAAAATATATGTAAAAAACGAAAGAAATGTTGGTTCTCATTTTGATCTCCGTGTCAGCTACTGCAGAGGCCCCTGTCACAGCCTGAGGATGAGGCTGAGCATCACTGACCAGCCCACCCCAGGGCCCCGCCCTCCTCCCAGCACAGCCCCGGGGGTGTGAGTCCCCTTCCTGGGCTCCCAGTCTCTCCCGGGAGGTGCTGACTCCAGGTTGAATTATCATCATCATCATCGTTACATCTCAGAGGATCCTGTTCAGTGAGCACAAGAGAAATGAGTTGGCAGCTCCTCTCCTTGCCGTCTCCCACCCACACCCCCGGGGCAGCAGGAGGTCCCAGGTTCTGGCAGCTTCCCTGGGGGCAGGACAGACAGAGCAGAGCACAGCTGAGCCTCTGGAGGAGGAAGGTCACTGTCCTCACCCCAAGGTCAGGAGCGCCCTCTGCAGACTTGGACGGGGAGGGCCTGTGGGACACTATGGTGCCTGCAGGCCCTGCTCTGAGGGGAGGGTCCATCCTGGAACATGAAGGAACATCTTCCGGGGCTTCCCCAGCATTTCTCCGGGGTCTGGACAGGAAGGCTGCCTCTATGAGTCTCACCAACATCCTATGGCTGTGTTCTTAAAGGGCCAGACTGATTATCACACAAAATGACCCCAAACAGGTATTGATGGTTTCCTGTGGCTTTTCCCCTCCATCGATCTGCCACTGTCCCCCCGACACACGTATTCAATGTCTTCAGCTCTTCGTGTGGCCACTGCATGGGGACGACGAAGAGATTGCTCCCCCTAAACCCACACCCAGCTCATCACAAAGGGCCCAGCACAGAAGGCACTGCATCATCAGCCAACACCCCCCATTCACTGGACGGATGAGCGTGTCCACAGAGACAGACTGAATGAGTGACATGCGTGTCAGGAGCCCCTCCCGTCTGTTAAGAGGGAGGAGCCCAGGGCTGTGTCCCAGGCTCATGTCCCTTCTCAGTCCCCCAGCGCCCTCAGGACTCTCAGCACCATAACGTCTCCCCTGAAGGCTGAGGCACAGCTGACTGTTTATGAACGTGTGAGGCCGCATTTCTAACCGCCTCCCAGACCAGCACCTCTCAGTCACGTCCGTGCTGGCACCTCCCAGGCTGGCTCAGGAGTGAGAAGCTGCAGGGAGAGCCATTGTCTGTGCCAGTCAGACCAGGATGTGGGAACAGAGACAGTGGCCTGGGAGCTGCAGACACCAGCTGGGCCTCAGGGCTATGCACCAAGGCGATGTAGGGTGTCCTGAGGCCAGCAGGGGGCGCTGTGGGATCGCCCAGTGGCCCCCACCCAGCTGCTCACTAAGGACTTTCCACTCACAGGAGCCTGGACCTGGGGGCTGGGCCCTGTGCACCCTGGTGGGGACCAGCTGTGTCTTTGCTGGCAGCGCCCCCTGAGCAACAGCTTCTGTGCTGTCTCAGCAGGTGCTTCCTCCCAGGGCCCCCCAAGGGGTGAGCCCACCTCCAAGCTCCTCAGTCTGGGGTGTGAGCTGAGCTCCAGCCCCAGGGCCCAGGGAGGGGCTGGGCAGTCCCTGGAGGGACTCCCATTTGCATGGCAGCCCCTCTCTGGCAGAGGGTGGGGGAGAAAAGGAGGTCTGGGCAGCCCAGCCCCACTGTGGGCTCAGGGCTGTGAGCACCATGGCCTGGACTCCTCTGCTCCTCGCGCTCCTCTCTCACTGCACAGGTAGGGACAGGCCTGGGGACCTGCTCACCCCCCAGCATCACTCCTCTCTTCCTCAGTGTCTTGAAAAACTTTCTTTGGGTCCCTGAACCCTCACTCATGAGTGTCTGTGTCTGCAGGGTCCCTCTCCCAGTTTGTGGTGACTCAGCCGCCCTCCCTCTCCGCATCTCTGGGAGCCACAGCCAGACTCACCTGCACCCTGAGCAGTGATGTCAGTATTGGTAACAAATATATATACTGGTTCCAGCAGAAGCCCGGGAGCCCTCCCCGTTATCTCCTGAGATATAGCTCAGACTCATATAAGGACCAGGGCTTGGGGGTCCCCAGCCGCTTCTCTGGATCTAAAGACACTTCGGCCAATGCGGGACACCTGCTCATCTCGGGGCTGCAGCCTGAGGATGAGACGGACTATTACTGTCTGATCGGGCACAATAACATTTGTCACAGTGACACACACAGATGGGGAAGTGGGACAAAAACCTCCCGTCTGCCCTAGCAGGTTTAGATCAGTGGATAGAGCCTCGGCCTGCAGACTGAAGGGTCCTGGGTTTGGTTAGTGTCAGGTGCATGTACCTAGGTTGCAGGCTTCTACCTGACCCAGGTCCTGGTTGGGGCTCATGCCGGAGGCAACCCATCGATGTGTTTCTCTCACATCGATGTTTCTCTCTGTCTTTCCCTCTCTCTTCCACTCTCTCTAAAAATCAATGGAAAAACATCCTCAGGTGAGTATTAAAAATACAAACAATAAGAGAAAAACAACCCTAGGTCTCCCAGAGTTTTGGGTTATGACAACTGAACATTTTAAAATAACTTGTGTATATGCAACTTTTCCCTGGAAGTCCCCTTTCATCCACGATGGGTCTACTCTCAGTTTTCTGTCCCATGCTGCTCAAGGGCCAGGAGAACAGAAACACAACCAAAACCATCACAGTTCAGATGGCACGGAAACGCGGCCTGTTTTCTGTGTGGAGTAAAACTTGAGACTGAGGGCCAACCTTTCCCCCTTGAAATAAGGAACATTCGTTCTTTTCCCACCAAACCCCAGTTCCCATTCCCACCGGGGACCTGGAATCCTGTTGGGTCTTCAGACTGAAAGCAGCAAGAAGCCCTCCTAATTGTCTCACTGTCTTTGTCAGCCAATCAAAAGCCCGGAATTCGTACCATCTCCTCGTGCTCGGAGACCCCCTGGAATCTCAGGGGAGGACGCTGTGAGGGTCAGAGGAGGGGTGGACCGTTTGTGTCACAGGGAATACAGGCTCCATAAAGCCCTGACTCACCCTGCAATGGAATGAGAATAAAACGCCCTAAGGAACTGTGGAAGGAACGCACAGCCGGACAGCTTCCTTACGTGCACGTCACAGGCATCAGCAGGGCAAGTTCCTGCTTGGACAAGAGACCGCCCTGACCTGGACTTCAGTTGACACAGTTCACCCGCTAAAAAAAAATTTCCGTGAGAAAAATAATGTAGTTATCAGGGTATGAAAACAGAAAGGAATTTTATTTTATTATTTTTTTCAAAAATATATTTTTATTGATTTCAGAGAGAAAGGGGGTGGGAGAGAGAGATGAAAACATCAATGATGAGGGATTCATTGATTGGCTGCTTTGTGCACGCCCCCTACTGGGGATCCCACTGCGCGTGAGAATGAACATGACTACAGATCCTTAGGAAAGAGCCCTGAGCCTGGCCGGTGTGGCTCAGTGGTGGGGCATCAACCTATGAACCAGGAGGTCACCGTTCGATTCCCAGTCAGGGCACATGCCCAGGTTGCTGGCTCCATCCCCGGTAGGGGGCATGCAGGAGGCAGCTGATTGGTGATCCTCTCTCATCATTGGTGTTTCTGTTTCTCTCTCCCTCTCCCTTCCTCTCTGAAATCAATAAAAATATATTAAAAAACAACAAACAAACAAAGATCCAGGTGCAAAACCCAGAGCCCTCCCAGGAGGGCTGGGTGGAGGAAATGGGCTGGAGGACATGTGCTCTGGGACCAGCAGGGGGCGCTGGTGCACTGGGACTGAGAGCTCAGGGCTCTGGGCCAGGCAGCTAGGAACACACTCTACTGGCCCCTGCACACTTGGGCAGGCAGGTCCTCACTCAAGTGTGACTTCCCTGCACCTGGGGCCCAGGAGCCACATGAGCCCTCAGCTCTGACACCCACACTTGTCTCCTATCCCTCCCCTCCCTCATGGATCCAACAGTCCGACCTGATTTACAAAACAGATGGACACACGACACAAATAAATTTGCTAGAAAACATGTGATCTCCGCTGCTCCATGCACACGGCAGAGGAGACACCTCGGAGGGGCTTTCTCAACGTCAGCAGCGAGGCCTCAGCACAGAGTCCCGGGGACTCCCCAGCACGGTCACATGTCCTCCCACCTCCTCACCCCTGAACCCCGAGTTTCCCGCGGGGAGAGTGAGAGAGTGAAAGGCGCTGGCGGTCGCCCTGTCTTCCGCTCCCGTCGCCTGGGACAGGCGGTCCTCGCCCATCACTTCTGCCACCTTCTGACCTGCCATCCAGGGTCCTAAGTCAGAAGCTGCAGGCTCTGCCCTCGGTGTCCAAGCCTTTATTTAAATAAGTTTAAATATGGCGCTCTCCCTCCTCTCTCCCCCCCTCTCTCCTGCCCTGGCCACTCCATCCCAGAACCCCAGTTCCGGAAGGAGGTCACTACAACCATGATGAAGCTGGGGAGGAGGAAGACAGTCTGTGTGAGGGCCCAGCATCTGCCTCTTTCAAGATCCCCCAGGGGACAGCAGGGTGACCCTGGGGCAGGACTAGAGGGGAAGCTGATTTGCATGAGGCACCTTCTCTCCTAATGGGTGTGGGAGGCATGAAAAGGCCTAGGAACTCCCCACTGCAGCCCAGGAGCCTGAGGAGCCACATCCTGTGAGTGTCCCCCACCATGGTCAGGACGGTGCTTCTGCTCCAGCTCCTGGCGCACAGCTCAGGTCAGAGGAAGGGCCTCTGCATCCTTGGGGGACACAGAACAGCAGGGCCTCAGGGTGACCTTCATCCATCATAACACCTGTCTCTCTCCTGTTGGTTTCAGGGGTGGATTCTCAGACTGTGGTGACCCAGGAGGCGTCCAAGTCTGTATCTCTAGGAGGGACAGTCACACTCACCTGTGGCCTCAGCTCTGGGGCCGTCTCTAGTAGTAACTACCCCAGCTGGTACCAGCAGACCCCAGGCAAGCCTCCCCGCACGCTCATCTACAGCACAAACAACCGCCCCCTCTGGGGTCCCTGATCGCTTCTCTGGCTCCATCTCTGGGAACAAAGCCGCCCTCACCATCTCGGGGGCCCAGCCTGAGGATGAGGCCGACTATTATTGTGTTCTGGACATAGGTGGTAGTAGTAGTATCTATTTACACGGTGATGTAAACCCACGGGGAAGTGCAACCAAAACCTGCTCATGGGCTCAGACTGGCTCAGCCTTTGATGCAGAAAACGCCTGAAGGTGGAAATGAGCAACACACCATGGGAAGGGGGCTCCCTGGCCCCATTCTCCGTCTAATTATTCATGGTCATGTGCCTCCTCCATCACTCCCAATGCGGGTCCATCTTGACATGTGACTACTGCAAGAATGGGCTTTCCCTCTTCCTCTCCGCCCATAGTTACAGGGATGGGCTTAGCTCCCAACTGGATCAACCCACAGTGAGACTCAGAGACCGCACTGTGAGGCTGTAAGTCTCCTCTGACTCAACGAGCATTGACGACACAGCCCCAGCCAGGAATCCCTGTGGGGACAACCTCAATGCTTACTTTGGCCTTGAAATGGGGGCATTACCTGGGGTGGTTAGAAATGCTATTCCCATGATAGAGCCACTGAGTCAGGGACTCTGTTCTTGTCCCAGAAACTCTATGCCCACACGCTCTCCAGGAGGAGGTTCAACATAAATGCTGGAGAAGCACCTCTCCTCCTATTGTTGCCTTCCTTCCTCCACATCAAATAATAAACTCAAAATGCATGAAAGACTGAAATGTAAGACTCAAAACCATAAAACCCCAAAAAGAACGTAGTCACTAAAATCTTTGACATTAATCTTACCAACATTTTCTCTACTACATCCTCTTAGACACGGAAAGCAAAAGAAAAATAAATCAAAGGGACTACATATCAGTAACGCGTTTTTGGACAGCGAAGGAAACCATCAACAAAACAAAAAGACAGCCTACACTGATATAATGGAAGTGGGTATTCACCAATGACCATCCCATGAAGGGGTCCATGTCCCACATTCATAAAGAGCTCACACAACTCAACACCAAGAAGAGAAAGCAAACCCACAAAACAATCCAATTAAAACATGGGCAGAGGACCTGAACACACTTCTTCATAAAGAACACACAGAGGCCAACAGACAGAGGAAAAGATACTCAACGTCACTGACCATCACAGAAATGTAAATTGAACCCACAATGCAATGCCACCTCACATCCTCAGAATGGCTGTCGTCAAATTATCAGACAACAAGTGTTGGCAAAAATGTGAAGAAAAGCGAACCCTCATGCACTCTTGGTGGGAATGCAGATTGGTGCTGTCACTCTAGAAAGCTGTACGGAGGGGCCTTAAAAATCTACAGGCCAACCTGCCTCATTACCCAGCGATGTCACATTTGGTATTTATGTGAAGAAACCCAAACACTGATGTGAAGACCTGCACGCACCCTGTGCTCCCTGCAGCATCACTGACAATGGCCGCGCTGTGGAAGCACCAGGTGCCCAGAGGGACCTCGAGGGGACTGTGCTGAGTAAAGAAGGTCAGACAGAGAAACACAAACACCATAACATTTCACTCAAATAAGGAATGTCAAGGACAAAATAAGTAAGCAAAGTAAATTGAGTCCAAACATATTGTTTCCTGAGGGCAGGGGGTCTAGAAGACTGAATGAAAAAGTTGGGGGGATAAAGTACTAATTGCTGCTTCCCAAACAGTGACAGGAAAGTGAAAGCACAGCACAAGGAAGCCAGACAATAGCCTGTGATAACTCTGTGCGGTGCCAGGTGGGCCCAGGTACCAAGGGGACACTTTGTAAAGCATAGGATTGTGCAACCGCTATGCTGTGCACGTGAAACCGATAGAAAATAATATTAAATATAAATTAAAATTGAAAAATAAAGTTTTTTGTTTTTTTCTTAAAGCAGAGATCCCGCTTATGTGACCTGAGAGACTGAGGTGACCTCACCCAGGCCCTGTGTGTCCCCTGCTCCCTGCCTTGCCCCGGATGTTTATTCTCTGAACCCTGACACCTGAGGAAGCTGGGTATTTCTTCCTGGAAATTACACTGTGAGGAGCGTGTGATCTCCAGGCTCCGGGCCCCTCCCCAGGAAGGACGCGGCTCTCAGAGGAGGCGCACTTCCTCCAGTTTATCCCGGGGCCTCTCCCACTTTCCTCTCTGCGTTCTGCTGTTGTTGTTGGGATGACATGTGATCAAGGCTAGTTGATTTGGCCCTAAACCTTAGAAACCCAATTCCCATGAAATCCATGGATAT